AATATTATAATTATATTAATAATAATAACAATAATAATAATAATAATAATAATAATCGCTGTGGCGCAATGTTTCTTTATCGTGGCAGACAATCTTCTCGGTTTTTACGTACGTAAATAACAATTACTTCTGCGAGAAGGAAACCTTACAACCAGCGGAATCTGTCCATTTTTAGTAATTGAGATTGTTGAGGAAGAAACAAATTAAAGAGTCCACGTGTCACAGTGAGATATGCCTACCCGGCATAACACATTAATAAATTTTACAATCTTTGATCACTACGCGTCTTTGGTTCTTGGGGTATAATGCAATTGACACTTGCATTTCTTTCGACGTACTGAAACTTTTATATCATCTGTAAAGCAAGAGTTACTCTTGCTCTTCTCCTATTTTACGGATGCGGACAATGTGAGATATATAGGGAAAATGATTCAAAATTCGATCAATCATATACTATTTCCACTCTGTTGTGTGTGCGTGTGTGCGTGCGTGCGTGCGTGCGTGCGTGCGTGCGTGCGTGCGTGTGTATCTTGATATGTTATCGATCAATTCTTGTGTCCATGTTTCTTTTTTATAAGACGATTATATTCAGGGCAATGTCATTTTTTTCTTCTACATAAACATGCCGAGAGAGACAACACAAAAGAGAATATAAGTTAAATAGAAACCGAAGGAAACATAACGATGCGCGCGGAGAGAGCATCGACGATAGCATCTCGGAACAAAGATTTTTTTTAATCGTAACTTTACAACTGGCCGATATTTATTTAATATTATTTTCTTATGTTGTCGGGGAAAAAACAATGTTCGAGAAGCTGCAGCGGAGCATTTAGCATTGAGAGAGCTTACACACACAGCCTATTCCATCCCGCAATAAGACAATGTCCATTTTTACCGTTACAATTGTCTAAAGATAATCGTTCACGTTATACTTTGTATCCTAAATGATTCTAGAATATATTTTTGACCAATCAGTTTTACGAATATCTCTAGAAGACTTCCGAGTTTAATATTATCTGCAATCGCGCTGCGAGTGACACGCGCTCACGGTCCAAGTTCCAAAGAGTCGCACAGGAGGGTCCATGATTTAAATAGAGTCTCCTAACCATGGCTGTGAAACCAACCGATATTTTGCTGTTCATGCTGCTCCCTCGTTTTCAAGTCATTAACGTGTGTTCAAGTCTCATCACATGCA